AAGATACTATTTATTTCCCACCCACTTTCTTCACCTCCAATTTGCTTACCATCATTCTCTTTATTCCATCCACCCGTTTTTTTCCATTAATTCAGATTCATCTTTTTAAACTTTGTCCTATTTGCCCCATTACCTCCCCCGTCTAAAATCCACATTCTCCTCCCTATCCTTCTTCATTACTATCAACAAACATTTTACGATTAAAAGTAGTTGAAGGGATTGCAAGTATTGTAATATCACATACATGTGCCATTTGTGGATCCCTTATTTTCCTCCCCTTCTCCCCGTTCTTCCGTCCTCTCTACTCTCTTCTCTGACCTGATATAGCAATTGTCCCAAAATTCAATTGAAGAAATAAATTTACATGCCAATGATAAATCCATCCTTTTTCCTCCACTTTTCGTCTTTTCCTCCCTTTCTTTTCTTCATCTTCTACATCTCTTCCAATATTTGCCATACAATTTATAGAATAAATTAAAATTAATAATTTTGATCAATTATTTATTTTTGTTTTCAATCTTTTGTTTCATCTTTATTGAAAATGTCGTAATGATAATGATAGACAGAGGGCACCTCCCCACACAAATAATGAAAATGTTTATTTTAAATGGCGACAATGGATATTATAAAAGTAAATAAAACCATTTGCTGATAAAAAACTCTGAATTATCACAGTTAACATATGTATTTGAACAGAGACCAACGTTATGTTAAACTGATTTTTACTAATTACTGCATCATTTCAGCTATTTCACTTTGATTTTACCGATCATCGAAATACTTCTGGTTAAATTTACTTGGCTAATATTGAATAGAAATAATCGAAATAAACTAATTAATTTCTAAAATATATCCATTATCGATTATAAATGATATCATTGACCTCACTTCCTTCATCACCTATTCTCTTCCTTTTTCCCTTCATATTTCCCCTCTTATCTTTTCTACAACAATGCAGTAATAATTAAAACATGGAAGATAACAGATTACTAATCAAATATTTTGATTAAAAATATTTTAGTGCTTTATTATTTGTTGGAATAGACGGTATTTACATAGGCAGTCGGGAAAACGAGGGCAGGGACGGGAATAGATGGAATGATTTATGTCTGGTTTATCACTGGGAATAATCATAATGGTAGATGAGGGGAATAGTAGAGACTGTCTGCTATTAACAAATCGATGCTATTTGAAAGGTGAAATTAGAGACCGATAGTGATGGTACTAATTATTAGTGAGTTGATACCTATATCAATGGTACAATATCGTATTGAAAGTGATCGGGGAATGTTACCTATACAGATTGAAAAAATGTGGAATTTCAGTTTCATCATTAATTTTTACTATGAAAAGAAAAAATGGAAGGATATGGAATATTTTGAGAAAATTTTATCTATAGAATGAATATCAATATTTAGAACTAATAACTGTTAAACTTTAAAATTTTAATTGAACTTTCAAAATTTATGCATAGGTTTTACAAAAAAAATTTGAATAATTTTTTCATATCTTTCATGAATAATTTTCGTCTTTTCACGTTTTTCACGTTTCTTACGTGTATGATAGTTTCCTTCCTATCAGCGAAATCAATGCCTTCTCTGATCATATATGCTATGAATGGAATTTCCAAATTGTTTTGTCTGATAAGAAGGAAAAAATAAGAGAGAAAAAAAGATAAAGCTTTTCTGTTCTCTCTTTTAAATACCTTTCATTCCATTCCCATTTTAGATCACAACCATATGGATGTCGTTCGTAGTCTTTTACGAGCGATCACACCATTACCTGACGGTGATGCGATTGATCGTATTAATTATTGCTTTTCAACTACTATTTTAGTCGTTCTATCAGCATTCATTTCCGGATGGAGGTTAGACTTTTCATTACCTGATAAAAGCAACAATATTAAGTTAAATAATTTGTATTTCCGAAAGTTTCTGTAATATCAGAATCAAATTATTCATACATTTGATAGTGAACATAAATATACAAATTAGATTCGCTCTTCTTTTTCTTTTCCATCAAATAGGCTAACTAAAAACAAACTTTTGTTTGAATCCATTCAAAAATTTAAAATAAGAATTTCTGATTCTTTTTTAAATTTATTTCATCTTTTTATGACGAGAGAAAAAAAAAGAATTTAGATGAATATTTTGGATGAATTTTCATTTGTTTCCACCTTTCCATTAATTAATTTACTTATTGTCTTCCATTAGAGCCAGCCAGAATTAAATAACAAAATTAATTCAAATAGCATAAATTTTACTTATTCATTCATTTCTCAAAAAGACTAAATTTTATCGATTTCACTGCAAATCGTTCGCTTTTTCAGAAAATATGTAAATTAAGGAAGAATGAATGATTGGAAATAAAAAAGGAAGAATAATATCCATTCTTATTGGATTCATTTTAAAATAAATTTATTTAAATTCCAAAGATTTGTTGGTTGGTAGTTTATACATTATAATATTATCAATGTCATACATAAATTCTTTCACATTTCAATTTCCCTTTAATGTTGTAAAACTTTGGATGATTCAAATTTAAAATGAAAAAAAAGGATGAAATAAAATGTTAGTCAACGGCGTTTCTATTTTATGTCTAATTTGAAAATGATAAAATTTTAATTTAATCCTAAAATTTAAAATACACTTAGTAGTTTTCTGCCAAAGGGAATTCTTAGCTTCTTGTTGTATAATATATTTGAATTTTCTTTTGCTGAAAAGAAAATATGAAAGTTTTATTTTACAACTTACATTATCATTGAACAATGTAAAATACATTCAATCGTAGTAATCTCCAGTTTTTATGTTTTATTTTTTTTCATTCTAATTCGAATATATTGATTTTTACTTTTAAATTGACCTTCAACCTATATATCCTTTATGTGCATTTTTCTATTTTTAATCAAATTTTCGAAAATTTTTCTAAGAAAGTTTGTCAATAATAATCCCTCAATACTATTATTTCCTCTGTTAGCTGAAACAGTAACTTACTTAAATATGACAATATTTTATGTATTAGAATTTCTTAAAATATATTTTAAATTTGAGAAGAGAATAATTTGGAAAAGTATCACATCGATATATGCATGTTTTTTATCAATGAATCAATCATTGCTCTTTCATTCCGTGTTATATGACCTTTCACACTATGTAAAGTTATCATTCATTTTCAAAATTTCATTTTTTAGAAAACTTCTATATATAAAATATATTTACATATACATATTTGTACACTTGTGCATATATATAATTTTCAGTTTTGTTGGCTCACCGATACAATGTTGGTTTCCAGCTTATTATCGCGGTATTTTACAATTTCTAATTTTTTCAAAATTAATTACTGAATTTGATTTACACCCTAATTTACACTTATTTATTTAAAAATGAATGGATAAATTCATTCTTTATTGCTAACCTTCCATTTCTCTATCTTATTAAGCGTTTTATTCATTATTTTATAAGAAAATTAAGTTGTAAAGAATTATAATTTATATGAATTGAAATTATAGTAATTAAATATATTTATATATTAAATAGTAATAATTCATCAAAATATTATAGCTATTATTACCATCAAACATATTTGCTTTACTATGATATTATCATCATTTCATTTTAATTAATTCATTAACTAAAATACTAATTGTTATCCATTAATTAATTATCAACTAACGTCGGAATTTACATTTTATGATAGTATTAATTAGCTGAAAACTTTCTTGAACAGAATATTAAAAAAGGAAAATAAATTTTTAGCAAATTATACACGAATTATTTGAATTAATTTGAAAGTTTCAATCATTTATGTGTACCTTTCAGGATGGTGGATTGAATATGCGTTAGATTATTGTTTTATACAAAATACATATTTTATACCATTTACTGATGTTATTCCCGATAATTACTGGGATATTGCAGAACATGTAATTCCTATACCAAAAAATATTACCCAACGTGAGGAGCGCCTAATTGGTTAGTAGTATTGTTCCGGATAATATATTCCGTTTATTATATTTATTCAACACGGAAGAGTTTTATAAATGAGAAACATTAAGTCTAAATTAAAATTATATAAATTGCTGAGAGGAAAACTATCTTTTTTTCTTTCCTTCTCTTTACAAATATATACAAAGAAAATTTTCTTATTATAATCGATCAATGAACAATTAGTCGGAAACAGGTAAGAAAATGAATGAATGAAAAATAAGTAATAAGTGATCAATGATAAGAAAGTAAGTACAGATGAATTTGAGAAAGAATAATGCAAATTAATTAAGTGAGACAATCTATAAGTAACAAATAAGTAAAGCGTAACTTACTAAGTTTAAGAAAGAGTAATTAATTTACAAAAAAGTACATAACAATTCAATATTAATTGCTATGGTGCAAAAAAAGCAATCATTCTGTCATAAATAAACAAATAGTAAATTTTATGAATAAATTCGTTAATTATTTACTTATAAATTATTAATTTGAATTTTTCCTCAACAAAAACATTATGAAATTAAAATTAAAATTTTTAAAATATTTATTAAAAAAGTTATTTTTCGATGAAAATTTCAGGTTATTATCAATGGGTGCCATTTATTCTTGCACTTCAAGGTGTATTATTCTATCTACCAGTCGTTTTATGGCGTACAATGTATTCTAGCGTAGGTAATTTATTCATTTTTACTTTTAAAAATATTTTTGTTTCATCTCAATTAGTTTTATTTATTTCTTCCCTTTTTGAATACTATTATTAATAAAACCATCGAATGATTAGCACTGTTTGACTAATTAAATATATGTATTAATTATCGAACGTCGTTATTAATATAACAGAGAGAGTAAATGAAAAGGTAATAGTTATTGAAGCATTCTGTATAATTGGTTTATTAATTATCCTAAACAAATTATACACTGCTAGTTAATATCTGACAAAGCTTTTTCAGTTTGCCGATTTTTTTCCAGATTTTATTGGGCTTTAACACTCTTTAATTTTTTCCCGCAATAAAATCAGCATTGTAATTTGTATTGTTTTTTGATATTAATTAAATCATTTGAAATTTTAAGTAAGCAAATTTTTTAATTAAAATTTGAATAAAAATATAAAATTACAGGTATAAAAGTGGGCGTAATTTGTGATACATGTAGTATTCGATCAAATATGGTCGCTCAAGATCGATCAAAAAATTTGGAAAAAGTTGCGTCATTTTTGACTTATGAACAAGGCGTATATTCATCATTAGATGGTAGAATGCATCGTCATTTATCATCTGGTCGTTTTCTTATCAGTGTATATTTGGTTCGTTTTTTTTTTATTTATAATTTGATAATCGAAAATTAATTAAAATTATAATGCAACAATTAAATGAAATAGTTTCCACAATCATTTCAATTCAATTTTTTATCACTTTTTTCTTGCCAATTTATGTGAATGATAATAAATGATACAGTATGCTTAAGGTATTATACATTATATAAAATCAAAATTAAGCTCTATTTTGTTAATAAATAAACTTTGATAACATAAATCGTTGTTATTAAAGTCTATTGAAATGTAGAAAGGAAAAAAGCACAAATCAATTGATTAATATTTCACAAAATTTATCGAATTTCGAAAATATTAAAAACCTTAGTTTATCATGTTGAAAAGTTGCTATTTGCAGTTTATGAAGTTACTCTTTGCTCTAAATGCTTTATTACAATTTTGGATTATCAAGAAACTTTTGGGTGTGGAAAGTATTTGGTGGGGTGCTCAGGTGTTTAATGACTTAATTCAAGGCTTAGAATGGCCACAAACTGGCAATTTCCCACGTGTCACATTATGTGATTTCTCAGTATGTCTTTTTTTTTTGAAATTTAAATTTGAATTTTAAGCGTACTGAAATTTTTCCCTTAAATTTCGTAAGGAAATCTTTTTCGAAATTTTCAATTTTTCATTTCAAAATGCTATTATCAAAATTATAAACAAAAATGGTGCCAAACACTAAATTTTTTTATCATTCATTCTTTCTTTTTATCTTAAATTATTTTTCCCCTTGTTATTATTGCATTTAATTCATTGTTCACTTAAGTAATTAATTAATTAGTCAATCAACGTATTTAGTTGATCGGAAGTTGATTAAATGATAATGATTTTAAATTTAAAGAAATCTTCAGGTGCGTGTACTTGGTAATCTTCATCGACATACCGTGCAATGTGTATTAATAATTAATATGTTTAATGAAAAAATATTTTTGTTATTGTGGTTTTGGTTACTTATCATTTCTACTATCAAGTTAGTTATTATATTACATTGTTGTATTTTTATCACTAATCATATATTAATTAATACTGTATGTTTCTTTATCAGTTTAAACTAATAATTATGTGGGGAACATTGATTTTTGCTATCAGAGAAAGTAATATAAAATTTTTTAATGTTATCAAATAATAACGAGAAAGTAATTACTTCAATGAAAAGGTTGCATTAAATTAAATTTCACCTAACTTTACTAATTAATTTTTTAAGTGATCATACTAATTAGAGAGAGAGAGAGAGAAAAATGAAGATCATCATTAATTTTTATTCTTTTTCAGTGTTATAAGTCTTTTACATTGGTTATTTGGAAGCTTTATGCATAGTTCTGGACGAGATATGATTGGCTTCTATCTTGAAAAAGTTTCTTTTTAATTATATTATATTTAATATTTATAGCTTCCACAATTTTTGTTATATTTATTATCTTCACTTTCCCCGGGAATTGATCCAGGAAGTTTTTTTCTTCAAGTTCAGAACATTATGTTTAAATTAAAATTTAATATTTAGATTGATCCAGCAGTTGCTCATACAACACGTCGTCGTGCGTTACTCCATGAATTTATTGCTGAAAAACTTCGTCCGGATGGTATATTTTTGTTGCAATTAGTAAAAGCTAATTCAGGTGATATTGTCACCTGTGAATTGATCGCAACACTTTGGCAGAGTTTTATAACAAATCGCGTGAATCCTCCACCATATACCGAACCATTATTATCCGGTAAAGAAAAAATTTCAGCAGATGAAAGCGGATTATAGTTCATTATAATTAATTGATTTCCCGCATTCTCGCGGATTTAATAAAGCGCATATTGTATTTTTGCACATTTTATTTCAGTTAAAAATTATTCGAATGAAAATGATCGAATTAATTAAACTTGAATAATTTTCTCATTTTGTTGATACAATTTAGGGAAAAATTTAGAACAATGCAGAAATTAAAAAATAAATGGATATTAATGAAAAGAAGAATATTTGCTTTTCGAAATGCTATGTCACCTTTATAAATCTAATTGTTATTGATTGTTTTGATTATTAATTGTTGAGATTATCATATGTTTATGTTATCGATGATGACATGTTTGTGAGCATAACTGGTCCGAATTGAAATTTTCAGTTGTAAGACATCGATAGATAATAAATATGATTGAGAATATAAATAAAGCATTAATTATTCTTAATCATTTCAAATTAATTTACCTCAAATTGAATTTTGAAATTTGTAAATGCAAGAGAAGAAGGAAAATACAAAAGTAAAAGAATAATTAAATTTCCTTTGTCTTAATGAACCTAAGGAATAATATTATGTTTTCCATTTGTTATTTGTATTATATATTACAAATTTTGCAACAAATTTTAATTTTTAATTTTTATAATTTAATTTTGTGATTTTGTGATTAAATTGTTTGCTTTCCTGTTATCATATTATTGTACCAGTGATAAGGTGCAGATAAAAAATTATCACTCTAATAAGTTATTTATCAATTTTTTCATACAAATGACGTGTTGCTATTGGAATACACGAAAAATATCTTTCTTTCTCTTTCTCTTTCTCTTTCATTTTTATCTCTTTCCCCCTCTCTCTCCCTCTCTCTCTTATTTTATCTTTTTTCATTTAGAATTAAATTTAAAATTTTCATTTTGTTTTCAATTTTTTGAGCAAAAAAAAATTAACTAAATTATCAATGCGATAATTTGTGTTGCTGCCATAATAATAATTAATAATAATTAATAATGATATATATATTCTGTCTGTGTAAATATTTTATTTTTATTCATATTATTTACAAATATTAGAAGAACAATATGAAAGTAACCATTCATTGCTTTAAACCTTTTATCAAAGTTTAACATTTCTCGGCGATGAGTAATAAATAATTGGGTGATGACTAATATTTTTATATCAATATATTCCTAATATTGTTTATATGACAGTTTCGTTTGGATTTTTATAGTTAAATTAAAAATTTGTTATCAAATTTTACTATAAATTAATTTGATATGTAAATATGAAAGCGATAATTCCTTTTCTTTTATTATATGAATATATAATGGAAGAAAATATAATTCATATTATAAACATATATATATACATATTTATTTATTTATTTGTTTATTCATTTATTTATATATTACTCATCCAATCATTTAATTACTCATCTCACTTTTAATAATTATTTATGTTTTTAAATTTATTTTTATTTGTATGTAAAGTTAAATTACAGAAATTGAAATATCATTTTATGTTCTTTGAAATGAATTTTGTCACATTTTGACATCGATCAAATAACAAAGCAAATTTTCCCATTTCATCGTGAAATTACATTCAATTTGTTGGGAAAGGCATTAACTATTTTCAGTATCATTAAATTTCAAAAATGTGAATTTCATTTTAAAATGAGAAATTTTAGCTGACAGCTATTCTCACATTTATTATTACTATCTCTTCTCTTTCCCTATAATAATTGTCCTTTAATTATAAAATAATTAGTAATGATCTTTTTTTCTTCTTTTTTGTCTATCAACTAAATGCTCTTTTACTTTTCTTTTTTTCTTTACAAATTAAGTGTTGTAATATTTCGATTCAAAATTTAATTCAGTCAATTTATTGATAAAATCATTTCAAATTAAAAATTCAATTAGAAAAATGTTTGTCTTTTTAGTATTTAAATAATGCATTAATTGTATTTTGTTTGTACCATTAACAAATGATAAGAAAATAGGATAAGATCATAAAACATTTTCATTTTACCGCAAATGAAGTAAAATTAAGTTTATACACTTCTTATCATCACTTTTTATGTGTACTGTATTTCTTTTTGCAGCATCGGCAAACTCATTCAAGCGAAACAATCTATTACCGTAACTTATTAATTTGATAAATTAGGTAAGAATTTTAATTCTCATTATTAACCAGTAATTTCTTCCTTCCATTCATTTCTCCTTCAACTATTATCACATTTTTGTATATGAAAATTTTGCTTTTTAGTTAGAGAAAATGTAAGAAATGAAAATCGAAATTAATTATTGAGAAATGGAAAAAAAGATGAAAATCATAGACTAAGTCTTAGAACAATAAAATAACATTTTCTAAGTGGAAAATATATTTTCATTTATTTCTTCATAAGGAAGTCTTCAAACATTTACGCCTACATTATTATTATTATCATTATCCTTATTTTATCACATTATCATAAAGCATACTTAGTGGTCAATCAGATATTTTTGAAATGGTCCAAACAAAAATGAATAATTATTAGAAATTAAAAAATAGAGGGAAAATTAGGAAAATAAAAATAGTTGAGATTTTTCTTACCAGTTAATTAAATATAATGTTTTTTAAACAATTAAAATATAATCTTTTCTTTTTTTCTTCAGAAATTTCAACTCATCGAATTATAATTTTTTATTAGTAAATCTTTTCCATTATTTCAATTTTAATTGTTTCAATGACATTGTTTTATTTTAAACTAACTAATAGCATTAATGACCCATAAGACCAGTATATTTTCCATTTAGCATCCATTTCTCTTATCATCATCATGGCATTAGATAATTTTAAAATTTATTTTAGTTCAAATTACATTAATGAGTTCATATCGCATGTAAATATCAGCTGCGCTTTTCTTTTCCTTCCAATTTAAAAACCGGTTATTGCACATTGGATGATTGTTGATTTTCGATACATTAATTTGATTGCAAAAATCATATCAACAATGGTTGTATCTATTTGCATTTATCAGTAATGTTGAATATACAATGATTGAAGTTTTTATAATTAATTTACACATTTTCAAATTTCTGAATTCAAAGAAGGGATTCCGTTCTTTTGTTTCTCCCTCTCAATCATTCGAAAAATTAATAGATCCCTTATAAATTCGAATTCAGCCTTTTCTATGATATTAAAATCATGATAAGAAGTACAGTAAAAATTTATTAAATGATTCAAAATTTATTTATTTTTAATGCTCATTATTCTCCTACAAATTCCTTCATTTTATTTCGGGAACTAACTTTTAAATATTTAAATTTTGTTTTAAACTAACGAATCAGGATATCTCGGGTTCCATTATTTTTGCAGCAAATTAAAGTACATTAATTTTTTTAACCTAAATGTTTTAAACTATTCTCTTATTTACAGAAATTCTCTCTCTCTCTCTCTCTGTTTCTTTATTCTCTGCAAATTTCTTTCTCTTAAAAAGATTTGTCGAATTTTTGTAAAAAAATAATAAAAGAAAGTTTCCTGTTTGCTTAACTGATAGATTTTAGATGGGAAAGAAATACATAAAACTGAAATTGAAAAAGTCTTTCAACGGTCTGATTACAACCACTCCAATCCCTATTACATTTTTGTTAATATAACATAGATATCTATAAGAGAGAGAGAGAGAGGGAGAGAGGGAGGGAGGGAGAGAAAGAGAGAGAGAGAGAGAGAGGAGGACAAAATGATGAAATATTTGATTATTTGTTCAAATGTATCATTCATTTATCAGTTCAAATTCAATATTACAGTAATTATTATATCTTCTCGTTATAATAATTTAATAAAACAAATAAATTTTTTTAAATTAAAAATGTAATTTTGCTATTGCTGCAAAAAAAAGAAAAATCATTAATTTGCTAATAATATTTCTGCAATTATTTCCACAATTATTATTAAATCATACATTATTATTATTGTTATCATAAAGCTGATAATAATTGCAATTGCATTGTAATCAGTTATAATCGTTGTTATTAATTAATTATTCAGTAAATTAAAATGAATTTTTTTTTAAAATTGTTTCTTCAATTTTTCATTCATTTTATATAATCAAACACAGTCATAATTATTTATTATTATTTATGAATACCTTCAAATTTATGTATTTCGAATTAAATTTCTTTTTCAAATTCTTTTTGAATGAATGAGAGAGTAATAATAAATTAAATTTACAATAATAATAAATACTATAATAATAAATAACAAATAAGTATAATAAATATTATAATTAATACATATATAATGCTGCATTTTTTGTCTCAGCAATTAAACAAGATTAATTAATTTATTTATCCGCGATGCTAATTATTTTGTAATTAAAGGGTTTGAGACAAAAAAGAAAGATAAAAACTAATCGATAAATATATCTTAATAATTTTTTAACATTGAGTGCATGCCTTCAAATGAAATGATTTGTGTATCAGAATGTATGCGAATGGTTGTAGTATTGATTTGTTGAAATTCGATTTGATTTATTTTACCTTTGCTCTCCTTAGAAATTTAAATTCAAAATACAACAGAAGAAAGTTTATTTTAACTTTTAGATATTAACTTGATATTTACCTGATACTTCAAGTCATCCAGTCAGTTTTAAGTCCTAATATTTCGCGTAACAATTAAATAATTTGATTTGAATATTTGAAGTATGTATTATCTAATGTTTATATAAATATTATTTTATATAATGAAAGGTTACCAGAAGGAGAGGGAGATCATAGAGACATGGCGAAGTATAAAGGTTAGATAATTATGCTAGCAATAAGGAAGAAAAAATGATGAAAAAGTAGAAAGCTTGAAAATGAAATCTTCTTCGGAATATTTGTTGCTGATTTTTGAAATGACCTTGAAATGGGCAAAAATTGTAAATTCATTTAAATGTAAGAGAATTTTTTAGGAAAGATGACAAAGCAGAAGAAATGAATTTGAATTCTATCAATTACTAGCCCTTTCCATTTAATGATTGCAATGATTTTGATCAATTTTGATTTGTTGTATT